ATATCATATCGTACTATATGCTACATGATACTTCGGACAACATTGGTCTAAACTATTCCTTGAGGGAGTTGGCACGATGGCGGTTACTGCCAACGTCGAGGAAGGGCTGCGAGAGAGCGATTGGCCACACCCCGCTTAGCCCTTTCACCAATGACGTTAGCAGTAACCGCCCGCCCACAGCCATCGTGCCCACTGCCTTTGATGACAACCGTCCACTTCTCGCTATTTTTGTCACCAAATGTGCTACTCGCTCATCTAATAGCTACTGCTTGCAATACTCTCTCGATTTCAGAATGTCCGTCGAGGGAATATTGCATGCAGTACGTCACTATTCTGGTTGGTATGATGACGATTGGTCCGACTGGATGTCTCATTCAGTCACTAGTAATCTACTACTAGCAGCCGCCAGTGTGATTTCGTACAAGGCGTTCGTGGATAGGCCTGTCGAATGCATGTCGCCAACATATTTCCCGGATTCTTGGACTACGGTTAGATACTAGTTTTCTTGAAATGACGGAGCGATTCTAATGTTTTACATGTTTTGTGCCTTGTAAAGATGCGGAACCTATTGAATACATGAACTCGTTGTTAACAGGCTGTATTGTCAGCGATCCCAAACAGTTCTGAGAGCGCTCTCAGTTATTGACCACGAATTTTATGGGAGGCTGGAGACTTTTTTGTCTACCAGAAATGGAAAGCAACTCTCCCGCACTGTCATAGGGAGACTCTTGGTTCTGACTCCCCATCCCCCCACTCTGTCTGACACGAGACTTGTTTTTCTTTTTGTTCTTTATAAGTACCCTTTTGGGCGCGGTTCACGACATCCGAGGCGCGGCCTTATTTCTCGGAATCGTTTAAAATGACAACTACACACAACTAACCCGTCCATGAAATTGGGAGTAACACCCTAGAAATACGAGTTCGCGCTATGGCACCCCTCGGATCTCTCGTTAAGTACATCAACCACACTTTTTTTCCATTTTTCGGGGGCTTCGCATGTTTTTGAGATTGCTTTTTTCTGAATTATGAGCACACTTCGGTGTGACAGTGACAGAATGAACAGTGGGACATTTCGACTGGAAGTCGCCATTGAAGGCCGACGTTCCACTGTCCTGGCGGATTAGTCCGATGTTATACGAGAGCGTTAGTCAGCTGCGAATTCATCGAATGTGATTCACAACTGACTAACGAGAATGGCTAATGAAAAACGGCTGTGGAATCAAAATACATCATTTGTGGGGCAGGGTGGGGTGTGAAACGGCGACTTCAGTACGACTACCAAGAAGGGCCGGGGAGAGGGGTTCTGATAGATTCTTGGGAGTTCTGGGAGGCGAGACCCACTTGCCCAACAATGCCACCATTTGCCACTAAATCCGCAGAGCGCAAGAAGAGTGGGGTTATACCTACATCAGATCAGCTATCACAAGTGGTAGTTCTGCTGCTTCTTCGCAATGTTACGTAAATACGACCTCAGTCCTCCGAGCGGCTAAACAATGAATTGATAAATTCCCTTCCTAAATTCTCACTAAAAATGCGTGCTGTGAGCAGTAAAAAATAAGCGACCTGCATTGGAAAATCTGTTCTTAACACGAACCTTGTAGTCCGCAAAAGTTACAGTCGGTCCCCAACTCTTAATCTTGCATAGTTAATTTCTTCTGTGGCTCGCAGGCGCTCGATAGACACACGGCGGGGTACAGCATCTTTGTGTGAATTACATAAGGGGTCGTACTTCTCCTCTGGGGAGGGGGTCTTATTTGGAGGCTGTTGGGAGAGGGGAGGAGAGTCGTATGTGGCTTTGCCGCGTTGTAAAAAAGGAAAAAATTTTCCCGGTTGTTGACTTTCCTCGTGGTTTCTCCTGTTTTATGTGTACTATGTGCCCCCTCCCGTCCCCTGCTCCCTCCCCCCGCTCGACAGCAAAATTTTTGGGGAAAAGTAGGGAAAATTTTCGGGAAATTGGTAGGTAGGTGTTGGAGAAGGGGGAGGGGGCAAACCGTGACCCTCCTTTAGGTGGGGGGGGTCATACCAATACCCTTCCTCGAGGGGGGAGGGGTCGTACCGACACCACCATTTTACACATCACGATGCTGTACCCTGGACACACGTCTGACTGTCTCCAAGGCCTATGTCCGTGATGGTGGCGCCTCTTGATACCATAGCACCTACCCGCTGGGAAAGGATAAAGGACAGAGGTTTCTGAGTTGATCAATCCTTTCCTTTGATATGC